CAAACCCCATTTTCCCCCCCCAAACCCCATTTTCCCCCCTGCCCACCTTCTGGGTGACCACGAGGAAGCGCAGGGCGCTGAAGGGGGGGTGTCCGTGTGGGGGGGCCTTGGCAGGCAGCGCGTGGGGGGACTCCAGCACCGTGCTGGGGTTCACCATCTTCTCCACCAGCATCAGCCACGCGTCCAGGAACTCGCCGGTGCCGTCCGGCAGGTCGGGGTGCTCCAGACCCTCCCCCACCGGCACCTTGCCCCCCATGGACAGCGCCCAGTTAAAGGTCCTGGGGGGAAAAAGGGATTTGGGGTGTTGGGAAGGACCCCGAGGTCATGGGAGGGACCAGTTAAAGGTCCTGGGGGTGTTGGGAGAGACCCTGAGGTCATGGGAGCATCCCCCCACCCACAGGAAGGGAGTTGGAGGGGTCAGTGTCCAGGGGCAGGGTCACTGTCCAGGGGCAGTGTCCATGTCCAGGGGCAGTGTCCGTGTCCAGGGGCAGTGTCCGTGTCCAGGGGCAGGGTCACTGTCCAGGGGCAGTGTCCGTGTCCAGGGGCAGTGTCCGTGTCCAGGGGCAGTGTCCGTGTCCAGGGGCAGTGTCCGTGTCCAGGGCCAGGGTCACTGACCAGGGCCAGGGTCACTGACCAGGGCCAGGGTCCATGTCCCAGCATCAGTGTCCAGGGGCATTGGTCTGTGTCCATGGTCAGTATCCAGTGCCCAGTCAGTGTCCAGTCAGTGTCCAGGGTATGTGGTCAGTGTGTGGTGTCTTTGGTCAGTGTGCAATGTCCAGGCAGTGTCCATGGTCAGTGTCCAGTCAGTGTCCGGGCTCAGTGTCCGGGGTCAGTGTCCGGGGTCAGTGTCTGGGGTCAGTGTTCGGGGTCAGTGTCCAGTCAGTGTCCGGGGTCAGTGCCTGGTCAGTGTCCAGGGTCAGTGTCCGGGCTCAGTGTCCATGATCAGTGTCCATGGTCAGTGTCCAGGGTCAGTGTCCAGGGTCAGTGTCCAGGGTCAGTGTCCGGGCTCAGTGTCCGGGCTCAGTGTCCGGGGTCAGTGTCCGGGGTCAGTGCCTGGTCAGTGTCCGGGCTCAGTGTCCGGTCAGTGTCCAGGGTCAGTGTCCGGGCTCAGTGTCCATGGTCAGTGTCCATGGTCAGTGTCCATGGTCAGTGTCCATGGTCAGTGTCCAGTCAGTGTCCGGGCTCAGTGTCCGGTCAGTGTCCGGGGTCAGTGCCTGGTCAGTGTCCGGGGTCAGTGTCCAGGGTCAGTGTCCAGGGTCAGTGTCCAGGGTCAGTGTCCGGGGTCAGTGTCCAGGGTCAGTGTCCAGGGTCAGTGTCCGGTCAGTGTCCAGGGTCAGTGTCCAGGGTCAGTGTCCAGGGTCAGTGTCCGGTCAGTGCCCAGTCAGTGTCCAGGGTCAGTGCCCGGTCAGTGTCCAGGGTCAGTGTCCAGGGTCAGTGTCTGTGGTCAGTGCCCAGTCAGTGCCCGGTCAGTGCCCAGGATCACTGCCCGGTCAGTGTCCGGGGTCAGTGTCCAGCTCACTCGAAGAGGGCGTTGTGGCCGCCGGAGCAGAGGAATTTCTGCAGCATGAGGTGATAGGGGAACTTGCGCTCGTCGAACAGCATGGGCGACGTGAACCCCACCGAGCAGATGAAGAATGTCAGCCTGGGGGCACGGGGTGGTCAGTGCTGGGCACGGCACCGGGCACTGCCCACGGGCACAGCACCGGGCACTGACCACGGCCACTGCCCACGGGCACTGACCACGGGCACTGCCCACGGGCACTGCCCAAGCTCCGGCCCCTGGAGGTGGCAGACCCGTCCCTGTCCCTGGTCTGTCCCTGTCACCCCAGCCCTGCCCCTCTCCCCAGCTCCCCCTTTTTTCCAAGCCCGCCCCATTCCCAACCTCACCCCTCTCCCGTACCCTGCCCCATTCCCATTCCCAGCCCCTCCTGTCCCAGCCTCACTCCTGCCCTATTCCCAGCCCTGCCTGTTCCCATCCCTGTTCCTATTTCCTCTCCCGTTTCCAATCCTGTTCCTATGCATGTCCCTACTCCCATTCCCATTCCCTCTCTCTCCCCTATTCCCAATTCTGTTCCCATCCCCATCCCCATCCTCATTCCCATCCCTGTTCCTATTTCCATTCCCATTTCCAATCATGCTCCCATTCCCATTCCTACGCACATCTCTATTCCCATTCCCATCCCAGTTCCAATTCCCATCCCTGTTCCCATTCCCTCTCCCTCCCCTGCTCCCAGTCCCGTTCCCATCCCCATCCCATCCCACCATTCCCATCCCATCATTCCCACCATTCCCATCCCCACTGTCCCGTGGGCACTGACCGGAAGCGCGGCGTGGGGGTGTAGGGGGGAGGCTGCCAGCTCAGCCCCTTGGTCAGCGCTGAGGCCGTGCCCTTCCCCATCCCATCCCATTGTTCCCATCCCGTCATTCCCACCATTCCCATCCCATCATTCCCACCATTCCTATCCCCTGTCCATGGTCACTGACCGGAAGCGCGGCGTGGGGGTGTAGGGGGGCGGCTGCCAGCTCAGCCCCTTGGTCAGCAGGCGGGTCAGCGCCGAGGCCGTGGCGCGGGCGGCCGCGGTGGGCGCGGGGGCGGCGGCGGCCGCGTGGTGGCTGCGGCGCTGCCGCACCGGGGAGCCCACGCACAGCTTGACCAGCAGCCCGAAGAGCTCGGCCAGCGCCCGGCCCAGCCGCGACGAGGCTGCGGGGACAGGGGGACAGTGAGAGCCCGGGCGGGGACAGAGGGACACGGGGAACGTGGGGTGAGACCCGCGAGGGGACAGGGAGAGCTCAGGGGTGAGACCCTCGAGGGGACAGGGAGAGCTCAGGGGTGAGACCCCCGAGGGGATACAGGGGACAGAGGGACACGGGGAACGTGGGGTGAGACCCGCGAGGGGACAGGGAGAGCTCAGGGGTGAGACCCCCGAGGGGACACAGGGGACAGAGGGACATGGGGAATGTGGGGTGGGACCCTCGAGGGGACACAGGGGACAGGGGGGACACAGGAGAACTCAGGGGTGAGACCCTCAGGGGGACACAGGAGAACTCAGGGGCGAGACCCTCAGGGGGACACAGGAGAACTCAGGGGCGAGACCCTCAAGGGGACACTGGAGAGCTCAGGGGTGAGACCCTCGAGGGGACATGGGGGACAGGGGGGACATGGGAGAGCTCAGGGGTGAGACCCTCGAGAGGACACAGGAGATGGGGGGACATGGGAGAGCTCAGAGGTGAGACCCCCGAGGGGACACAGGGGTGAGACCTGGGGGAGGACACAGGTGAGACCCCCACAGATCCCCTGAGCTGTTTTAGAGACCCCTCTAACACAGTTTTAGGGTCTCCCGGGCTATTCCTAGAGCTCCCTGACCCATTCCTAGAGCCCACGACCCATTCCTGGAGCCCCCCCACCCCAGTTTTGAGCCCCCCACCCCATTTTTGGGCCCCCCTCACCAGAGAGCAGGGGTTTGATCTGTTTGATGCGGGCGGCCATGGCTGGGGTGATCTTGGCCTTGGCTTTGGGGTCGCTGGCGCTCGGCTCGTCCGTCTCCATGGGGGCCAGGGGCTCCCCCTCCAGCCCCATCCCCTCCAGCAGCCCCTGGGCTGGGGGGGGGTCACTGCCCACGCCCCCCGTGGGGCCTGGGCCCTCCGCCTCGCCCTCTGTGGGGGACAGACATGAGAGATCCACAGAGACCCCCAAAAGTCACTTTTCCTACAGAGACCCCCCCCAAAACTGACCTGCCCCCCCCAGACCCCCCCCAAAATTAACCTGCCCCATAGAGACCCCCCCCAAAACTGACCTGCCCCACAGAGA